AATAAAGTATTGCATATATAAATGGCTAACAAATAAATATCTATTTGTTATCATACTATTAAGATGGAAGACAGGCTATAAAACTGGCATTACGAAGCACAAAACCAAAAGTTGTTGTATTGGGTCTCCAAGAACTTATCAGATGTTTACTTAGCTGGTTTGACAAGACTTTCATCCTTTGCCTGATTTTCCTTTTCATATTACAAAGGAATTAATCTCTTACTCAGTACACTTTTTGTTGAAAAATTGCACAGGTATTGAGAGTAAAATTTGCATTTCTTTATTTTCTTTTTGTGTAAATTATAAAGGCAAGTGAATTGGCATGCTAAAATAATATACGTATCAAACTGACTAGCTTATCGGGCTATAAATGTTTGTCCACACAATACAATGTAGGACACACTGCATGATCAGTATTCACAGCAGAATTAAAAACTTTCATCTTTGCATAAAAAACACCATAATTTACTCTGAAGACAAAATTATAAAATTGTTTAAAAAGTGAACTTTGGCAGAATGGGGCAAGATGATTATCAGGATTTTGCAAAAATTTCAGAACATGCTGTTTGTGCAGAGTACAGTTTAATTTCTGTGACAAGTGATAATTACATTATCGGACTAAAGCTTTTAGAAAGCTATTCACATATCTGGGCAAGAGTAAACATATTGCAACAAAAAAACAGCTTTTAATGCCTCACACAGAAAAAGGTACATCAAATTGGCAAGCTTTACTTCTATCTAGCACACACTTAAAAACACCACTGAGGTTTCATTGATGCATATGACAACCGTTAGCCTCTTACAGGACCAAGGTGTATACACTCCACCTTTGGTTTGGTATTAACACCCTTACATGATCTGATATATGTCTACATCTAATAAAAGTCTAAAAGCTAATATTCAACACTCTATAGCAACGATTTACTATTCTATTATTTTAGAGGTCATGATTCTGCAATTGATTTTTTTTAAAATAAAATGTTGATAATAAATTACTTTAAAAGTCATGATACATGGCGATTCACATTATCAACATGATTACAAACCCTTACAAGTAACACTCTTCAAAATCCTCAAACAGAATGTCATAGCCTCAGTAATGGTATTAACAAATTCTGGAAAGAAATCTTGTAATATTAATGAAGAAGCACATGTCAGCAGGACAAGGGAGCGCTATCTAGCTAAAGTCTATGCTGATTGGAATCTATGGTCATTCATTTAAAAGGCAAATGCTTTGCAATAACAATTATGATGTACGATGTATGATGTTTCTTGCAAGATTTCCATAATGTACATTATTGTATTCCCATCTATAAGCCATAACATTCAAGGGAAACTTTGTTGCGTTTAGGTGAACCTTTCTTGTACATGTATATCATCATGAATTCAAAACTTGCATTAATGTATAGAAATGAAATTAGGTGCTCGAGAAGAATATGTCATTAAATCACAACACAAAAGAGACACATGGTCTAACCACTAACAAATACTTAGCCACTCTAAGTTATATATACCTCAGTAGGATGTAAAAGTCTCAGTTTCACATTGTAGATAATTTTATCAGTGCTAATTTAGGAACTTGTGCTCAACGATTAGCGTACATACGCAAGACATGTATAGAATATCATAGACAAAATGTAGCTTCCAGAAAATGATGGCTGTAATTCTGTCCTTAACGGTAGTAGTAGCAACAACAATAATATTGCATAAATAAGTGGCTCATGATTTATTATCATACTATTAACATGGAAGACAGGCTATAAAACTGGCATTACATAGCACAAAAACAAACATTTGTTGTACTGGGTCTCCAAGAAATTATCAGACGTTTCTTACGCTGATTTGACAAGACTTTCATCCTTTGCCTGACTTTACTTTCCATATTACAAAGGAATTAATATTTTACTCGGTCCACTTTTTGTTGAAAAATTGCACAGGTATTTAAAGAGTAAAATTTGTAGTTCTTAATTTTCTCTTTGTGTAAATCATAAAGGCAAGTGAATATGCTAAAACAGTACATACATATTAAACTGACTAGCTTCTTGGGCTACAAAGGTTTGTCTACACAACATAATGTAGGACACAATGCATGATCAATATTCCAGCAGAATCAAATCAAACTTTCATCTTTGAATTAAAAACATAATTATTTGCATTGAAAACAAAATTATAAAATCATTTTAAATAATAACTTTGGCAGAATCAATTGAGTTGATTATCAGGATTTTGCAACATTTTTAGAACATGCTTTATGATGCAGAGTACAGTTCAATTTTTTTGACAAGTGATAATAACATTATCGGACTAAAGCTTTTATAAAGCCATTCACATATCCGGGCAAGAGTAAATGTATTGTAACAAAAAAACAGCTTTTAATGCCTCACAAATAAAAAGGTACAGAAAATTGGCAAGCTTTACTTCTATCTAGCACACACTTAAAAACACCACTGAGGTTTCATTGATGCATATGACAACCATAAGCCTCTTACAGGACCAAGGTGTATACACTCCACCTTTGGTATAGTATTAACACCCCTACATGATCCCATATATGTCTACATCTAATAAAAGTCTAAAAGCTAATATTCAACACTCTATAGCAACGATTTACTATTCTATTATTTTAGAGGTCATGATTCTGCAATTGATTTTTTAAAAATAAAATGTTGATAATAAATTACTTTAAAAGTCATGATACATGGCGATTCACATTATCAACATGATTACAAACCCTTACAAGTAACACTCTTCAAAATCCTCAAACAGAATGCCATAGCCTCAGTAATGGTATTTAAACAGTCTGGAAAGAAATCTTGTAAGTTTATTGAAGAAGCATGGGTCAACAGGACAAGGGAGGGCTAACTAGCTAAAGTCTATGCTGAATGGAATCTATGGTCATTCATTTGAAAGGCAGATGCTTTGCAATAACAATTATGATGTACGATGTATGATGTTTCTTGCAAGATTTCCATAATGCACATTATCGTATTCCCATCTATAAGCCATAACATTCAAGGGAAACTTTGTTGCGTTTAAGTGAACCTTTCTTGTACATGTATATCATCATGAATTCAAAACTTGCATTAATGTATAGAAATGAAATTAGGTGCTCGAGAAGAATATGTCATTAAATCACAAGACAAAAGAGACACATGGTCTAACCATTGACAAATACTTAGCCACTCTTAGTTATATATACCTCAGTAGGATGTAAAAGTCTCAGTTTCACATTGTAGATAATTTTATCAGTGCTCATTTAGGAATTTGTGCTCAACGATTAGCGTACATACGCAAGACATGTATAGAATATCATAGACAAAATGTAGCTTCCGGAAAATGGCGCCGTAATTCTGTCCTTAACGGTGGTAGTAGCAACAACAATAATATTGCATAAATAAATGGCACGTGACTTATATCTATTTATTATCATACTATTAACATGGAAGACAGGCTATACAACTGGCATTACATAGCACAAAAACAAACATTTGTTGTACTGGGTCTCCAAGAAATTATCAGACGTTTCTTACGCTGATTTGACAGGACTTTCATCCTTTGCCTGTCTTTACTTTCCATATTACAAAGGAATTAATATTTTACTCGGTCCACTTTTTGTTGAAAAATTGCACAGGTATTTAAAGAGTAAATTTGCATTTCTTTATTTTCTCTTTGTGTAAATCATAAAGGCAAGTGTATATGCTAAAACAGTACATAAATATTAAACTGACTAGCTTCTTGGGCTACAAATGTTTGTCTCCACAACATAATGTAGGACACACTGCATGATCAATATTCACAGCAGAATCAAATCAAACTTTAATCTTTGAATTAAAAACATAATTATTTACATAGAAAACAAAATTATAAAATCATTTCAAATAATAACGTTGGCAGAATCGATTGAGTTGATTATCAGCCTATTTTGCAACATTTTCAGAACATGCTTTATGATGCAGAGTACAATTAAATTTTTTGACAAGTGATAATTACATTATCGGACTACAGCTTTTATAAAGCCATTCACATATCTGGGCAAGAGTAAATGTATTGCAACAAAAAACAGCTTTTAATGCCTCACAAATAAAAAGGTACATGAAAATGGCAAGCTTTACTTCTATCTAGCACACACTTAAAAACACCACTGAGGTTTCATTGATGCATATGACAACCATTAGCCTCTTACAGGACCAAGGTGTATACACTCCACCTTTGGTTTGGTATTAACACCCTTACATGATCCGATATATGTCTACATCTAATAAAAGTCTAAAAGCTAATATTTAACACTCTATAGCAACAATTTACTATTATATCATTTCAGAGGTCATGATTCTTCGATTGGGTTGTTCTTTTATTCAATTTTTAGAATAAATAACTTTAAAATTCATTACGGTATACATGGTAATTCACATTATCAACATGATTGTGCTCCCTTATAAGTACCACTCTACACATTCCTCGAAAAGAATGTGAAAATAAGTAACGGTATTCAACAAATATAAAAAGCAACCTTGTAATTTTAGTGAAGCATAGGTCCACAGGACAAGGGAGCTTAACTAGCTTCAGTCTATGCTGAATGGAATCTACGGTCATTCATTTGAAAGGCAGATGCTCTGCTATAAAAACTATGATGTACACGATTCTTTTTCAAGATTTCTAATACCGTAATGCACATTATTGTATGCTCATCTATAAGCCATAACATTCAAATGAAACTTTGCTGCGTTTAAGTGAGTTTTTTTTTTAATTGCCAGAACCCAAGACAACTCAAATGTACATGTATATCATCATGAAATAAGTATATTATCATGAAATCAAAACTTGCATTTATATATAGAAATGAGAAGAATTTGTCAATCAATCACAGTACAAAAGAGACACATGGTCTTACCATAAACAAATACTCAACCACTCTTAAGGTTCCATATACCTCAGTAGGATGTAAAAGTCTCACTTCTACATCGTAGGTAAGAAGGTAATATACTCGACACTAGTCACGTTAGATCCATTTCAGGAGCTGGAATGACTCTCTCTCATGTCTTTCAGTATCCTTCACTCACTCTTAGCAGTCTGAGATCTAGAATAAATGGAACATTGATACACTGTAAGCATCATTTTAACCTAGATTCGGACAAAACTATTTGAAATAGAGTTAATCCTGAATAATGCCTCGTTCATTGTGATAATGCGAGATGGTTACGGGACAAACTAATTGCCAGGGATAAGTAATTGAGAATTAATGAATCCTTGTCACAAGTGTATTTCTCTGTGTGAGATGCTTACCTGTAGCTCAGTATATCAATGACAGGATCAGTAGTGAAGAAATGACAGAAAATATTTTTCATATTTTTGAATGTATTTGTGTCAATATGCATTAATGAATTACTAAATTGTGTGAAGAAGATTCAAAACATATCCCTATCAGATTAAAATACATGTAGACGAGAAGATACTTACTTTTTTGACATGATAAGCAGATAAACAGGTTTGACTAGTAGAAGGTAGATGAGCGGTAGGATGACAAAGATGATGTGACCAAAGTAATGCACAGCTGCATAGATCTGAGCGAAAGAAAACAAATATTCCAAGATCTTCTCAGTCTCTTAATAAACTAGATTGACTTTTGACTGCTCACTGTCGAAAATGAGGCCTCCGCCATAGAGCGATTTAACAAACCAAAACAGAAGCATTTTTCAAAATTCAAGTTCGATTGAATCCATTAACAGGTTCTCAAAATATTGTGAATACAAGCTATTTTTCTGCTTGTAAGTGTCGGCTTGCATGGTGATGTAGATATACAGTAGGCTTGCAGGTGCACCATGTGAGAGAGAGGGAGGATTGAGGAGTCCTGAAAAGGACTCTCGGTAATCTTTCTTGAGGGTTTGTAGTCCTGAAAAGGACTGTTGGTGTAGTCTTGAAAAAGATTGTTGGTTATCTTTCTTAGCTTATAGTTCTAAGGAGAACTATAGCGCTTGGAGAGGATGGGTGGCGGGAGTGGCTCGATGTTTCAAACAGGTTGACTATCCTGACGATGGATAGTCAACCTGTTCGAAACAGACAGGCAATCGGCTTGTAAATGTCATGGGATTCATGCCCTAAAAGTTTATCATTATGATTGCAGCATAAGCTAAATCCAGAATTTTGTTTAGAATCTGAGACAAAGATACCCAATCCCTTTAAACAAATTATACAGCTGTACTCTATTGGACCTTCCACGGCTGAGATCTAAGGGGGGGGGGGTTGACTTTTCAAAGTGTTATAATGTGCAAACCTACATGTACACTGTTGGCTCCATATGAGTTTCAATTTTTTTTTTTTTTTAACTATCATTGGAAAATATCAAACAATTGTATTTGGTTATTAAAGACACATTACCAGAGTATAACAGTATACTTACTGGGTTATAGTCTGCAAAGAGGAGTAGCTGGAAACCAATGAATGGATAAGCAAACCCTAGAAGCATGAGAACTCTTAGCAAGGGAAACACGAGCATGTACCCAACGCGATAAGAGGTTAGCGGCTTGAATCCAAGCATCCTCCAAAACTCCATTAGCTGAAGAAAACAATAAAAGACAGATTTTAAAGATGGTAAATCATGCAGCTCCACAACAAAATAGCTTCTTTTTTTCCCTCCAAATTAACTAACATTAGGTCAGATTTCCAAATTTCATTACAGAATTACAAACAATTGCATGAAATTGAGAGATTGACACTAGGTGTCAAATCAAAATCAGAGGACCATACATTTTAATAGCTTTAATTAAGCCACGTTGAATGGCTCGGGTCCACTTATGAAATGCCTAGGACATTGTTATCATGAATAATTGCCAATCACCTTCTTTACCAAATTAGAATACTCGATTTAGATTTTGTACAAATAAGAAATCTTGTCCTGTATACTGCTACTTCGAAATATGATCTTGACCTGATGACAGGGTGCCCCATCTATAGAAGAGTATTTTCATCAAGAACAGTGATGAACATACCCCTCTTGTGATGAGAAAGGTGCCCATTCTGAGGTGCAAAACTGTCATATATCTCACAGTTTGTTACACGGGCAGCTGCCCTTTGGCGTGATTACATAGAAATATCATCTTGCTATGCCTTTTAGAGATGTTACAGTTTTAAAAATAAATATAAATGCTGTTTGTTGTGACACATAACATTTTCGATAAAATCTAAGCAATTTCTTTACTCCCACCATCAAAAATGAATTGACTGTTACCCTTGCCCTAAATATTAAAAAGAAGCCCAAGGAATTTTTCTCATAGGGTGTTAAATTTTATTTTCCTTTAAGGCAATCTCTGCATGTGAACCTACACCAAATTTCATTGTCTTATCGAAGTTTGGAACAATTGGGTTTTCACATGTCATTTTCAAAATGCTGGGACTCTGCATTGCATGTTCTTATGGAAGCCATTTGAAAGCACATTACATGAACTTTTTTGAAAGTGGATACTTTTCGTAGAGCAAATAGCTTGATAACAATGTGTTTCATTCTTTTCTCCTGGGATGGGGTGTAGTACTTACAGTTTCCTCACTGAGAAGCTCAAAGAACTCAAAGATGAAAGCATGCAAGTATCCAGTGTAAGGCCCATGCCACATTGCTAGAAAGAGGAGCGTTGCAGCTTGAGACACAGGCCTAGACCCAAGAAACCTCAGTCGCTGGTAAATATGCCTGCATGCAAAATCATCAACAATAGGAGAGAAATTATTCAAGACAAACATCAATCAACTTTTTGTTCTTCAAATTAACTATGCTGGTATATTTTTTTCTTGACATATTGGTTAAATAAAAAAGTCTTGCATCTGCAACTATATACATGTAGAGGAATTAAGTCAAAATATTTGCAAGTAAAACATTGATCCTTGAACCTATCAACAAGTTGATTATTAAAGGATATAGAGCTTATTTTCTTCTTCTTTTCTTTTCAAGTCATGAAATCATTATAATGTTCTATATGCTCTCTTAAACTACTGACCTCCGAGCCCAGTTATTAGTCTTGACATGTTAAGATGCTATCAACTCTCTTAATGACTAACCTTCGAGCCCAGTTATTGGTCTAGACATGTTAAGATGCTATCAACTCTCTTAATGACTAACCTTCGAGCCCAGTTATTGGTCTAGACATGTTAAGATGCTATCAACTCTCTGAATGAATAGCCTTTGAGCCCAGTTATTGGTCTTGACATGTTAAGATGCTATCAACTCTCTTAATGACTAACCTCCAAGCCCAGTTATTGGTCTAGACATGTTAAGATGCTATCAGCTCTCTGAATGAATAACCTTTGAGCCCAGTTATTGGTCTTGACATTATAAGATGCTATCAACTCTCTTAATGACTAACCTTCGAGCCCAGTTATTGGTTTTGACATTATAAGATGCTATCAGCTCTCTGAATGACTAACCTTCGAGCCCAGTTATTGGTCTTGACATTATTAGATGCTATCAGCTCTCTTAATGACTAACCTTCGAGCTCAGTTATTGGTCTAGACATGTTAAGATGCTATCAACTCTCTTAATGACTAACCTTCGAGCCCAGTGATTGGTCTTGACATTATAAGATGCTATCAGCTCTCTGAATGTTGTTGAAGTCTCATAGTTCAAAACATTGACATTTTGACAATGATCCCATCGACTCTCACCATCCTTGTCGATCCCATTATAACCCAAGCCAGTCAGTATACAGCTTCCTTCCTGATAATGATAAATAAATTATCAATTAGTTGTTACATCATCATAAGAGCATATATACTGCCTTCCAAAAGTTTGGTTACACCTGTCTTAACAGGTGCTATGGTCGAGTGGTTAAGTCGCCGGACCGTCGATCACAAGGTCCGCGGTTTGAGACCCGCCGCGGCACTAATGTCCTCTGGCAAGACATTGATCTACATTTGCCACACTCAACCCAGGTGATGTAAATGGGTACCTGGCAGGAATTAATTCTTTGAAATGCTAGAGCGTCGTAATGGCAGTACAGCTAAAGCTGGGGTAATAATCTCGGAGTTTGGAAGTACTTAGTGATTGTAATAAGCGCTATTTAAAAACCGAGTATTATTATTATTATTATTTAGAAGTGATTTTAACAATCACAATCAAATTTGTGCCAGATGTCCAGGGTGTGCCCTGCTGTGGTCACTGTCAGGGGCAGGTTCTTTGATGAGAAGTCTCTATGATTCAAAACATGATACTTCTAAAATTAGAGAAATAGGCATCTCTTGACATACCAATATTCATTTAATTATTCTTTTCCATGTAAGAGTTACACAAAAGCAAAATATAATTCTGCATGGAAAAAAGAAAACAAAAAAGAAGGCATGATTGCTTGATGAAACAATTTACACTTTGATAAACTAATGTCACTTTAAACGCTGATGACTACTCTTCGGTTTGATACCAAATTGTTCCAGTGTCACAAATCTTATGAAAAATGAAATGTTGATGATTGCGAAAATTCAGTTCTTATTTCAGGTATACCTAAATTGTTGGAGGGTGGTGTATATATTTAAAGAAAAGTGATCTTGATTAATAAAGTCCACTTCATAGCAACTATCAAAAAAATTAAGTATGAACCAGATGACCTTTACTGCATGTGTATACAATCTTCAAAAACCTAATTTTAGGTAAAGATTTGACAAAATTAAGATATAAAAGGAGAGAAAAGTAAATTTTTTTTTTACTTATAATTGTGCGTAATTGATTTTTGATTAAAAAGTTCAAATGCTAAGCTGTTTTAAAGGGGCTGTAGCATGGCGAATACTGGTTAACTCCATCTACGACTTCTTTTGGACAACTGCACGTAAACGAATGGACTTGATTAACGTTCAGCGCACACTTCGGTTTCGCATACGTTGCACGCACTGTGAATACTGCGGTTGCGTCGTGCGTAGTCGTATTACACCCCATTGGCCCCGAGTCAGGCCATGGGAAAGACACATAATCTCGTCATGCTTCACCCCCTCTAAAGGTTATTTCATGACTTTCAATCCCAGCCAGGTTACTATATACTACAGGTATACAGTTTGGACCATAACGGCTAACAATGTTAACTCGACTTTTAAAAATTAGACTGTTATCAGTCATAACAAATATTAATAGAGAGTTGCCATGCCATTTGAAAACAGTATAGAATACCTACAGCCATGACCCATGATGTGATGTACTTGCTTCTATCAAAGATACCCCAGAGGAGGATAGCTAGCACTTGGCTGAGGAAGGAGGAGTGCTAGGGAATAAAAGAAACATCCAAATATTAAAGTGACTCAGTAACATTGATGAAGGTTGATAAAAAAACTGTAATTTTTGTATGAAATGTTACTTATTTATTACATTCCTTTTACTGTACTTACCGTCGTAACAAGCAAAAATTCCTGAGAAAATGCTCAAACCACAAAAATATTTATGGTTTTCTCTGAAAGTGGCACTGTGCAACACCTTCTAACAGTGATTAAAAGTAAATTCTCCCAACCGTAAGGGATAGGGTTAGGCTTTATACACATTAGCATCATTTCATGCACCAATCCTGCCCCCCCCCCCAATCCATCCATCTATCAATTCACTGTATCCTTACAACATTCCCTCATATATCTTAGCATCAATCTTTCAATCTTTACCATGAATGTGTCACTCTTGAGGTATGTTTGACTGTAGATGGGAAGACAGAAGACAGTCAAACCAAGATAAATCAGACCCTGCATGAACCTCTTGAAAGCAGGTCGGAGGTTAGAGGGATTCTCCATCTCCCCCTTTGGTAACAACTGTTGATTCGCCAGGTACAAGTACTGCCGCATTGAGAACTGCAATGTAAAACATAGGTTCATTAGCAAATAACCTTGCTATGAAGCTTATTTGTACACTTAGTTATAAATGCCCAAAAGAATGAATGCTGCTGTGTCTCCAACATGCCTCTGCCAACATTCAAATTCATTCTTTCATTTCATTTCATTTATTACTCAAATGTTCAGGACACATTGTATTTCAGCATGATAATGCCTATGCATACAGTAAATGGGGCCAATAAATGGCAAAGCTGGACAACGATTAATAAGGCTAAAAAACACAATTTCATGACCACTGACAAATGACTAAATAACTAAAAAAATCATTTCATCTTTCTATGGTGACACAGGTGAATGTTTAGGTCAATCTTCTTAAATGGTAATTCAGATTTTGTGAAAACAAGGCTAAACTACAACCATATAGAATGTCCCCTCCCACTATCTGTGAACCACACCCCTGTAGAATTTCCCCTCCCATTATCTCTAAACCACACCCCTGTAGACTGCTCTCCTTCATTGATATCTAAGCCACGCCCCTTTCACACGTTTCCTTCCACTATCTCTAAACCACACCCCTTTTACATCTTTCCTTCCAGTATCTCTAAACCACACCCCTTTTACATCTTTCCTTCTATTATCTCTAAACCACACCCTTTTTACATCTTTCCTTCCATTATCTCTAAACCACACCCCTTTTACATCTTTCCTTCCATTACATGTATCTGTAAATCACACCCCTTTTACATCTTTCCTTCCACTATCTTTAAACCACACCCCTTTCATATGTTTCCTTCCACTATCTGAACCATACCCCTTTCACAAGTTTCCTTCCACTCTCTAAACCACACCCCTTTCACAAGTTTCCTTCCACTATCTCTAAACCACACCCCTTTCATATGTTTCCTTCCAATATCTGAACCACACCCCTGTATAATGATCCCTTACCTGTTGAAAACCCCCTTTCTGAATCTTTCCTGCTTACCTGTGGACCACCCATGAAGGCAGCAAAGAAAAAAGCAAATCCTGCGACCTCCAGGAGACTCGGAAGTCTTGGAAGATAGTTCTCCTTCTGGTCCTTATTTAGAGTTTGCTAATATTTGAAAGAAGAATTGTAATAAAAAACATAAAGCTTAATAAAAGTTATCAAACATCACAAATTCTGGTTAAAGTATTTTTGTTTTTATTAAAAAATAATACTTAACGACATAATATATTTACAATAATATCATATCAATAAAGTATGGATGTATACAGAACATGGTTCAACACAGGACAACACAACACAAAACAGCACAACACAAAGACAATGCCTCACTCTAGTCAGTTAAGGCTCACCCTGACATACATGTACATCAAGGTTATATATCATGTCAGAGATGTATATGACTTTTACCAAAACATCTTTATCTGTGTAGACTGGTTTGTTATCTCTATGCATCAATGGCTAATGTAAATACATTGCACATCTTGGTATTTCATCCTACATGTTCCCTGACTGCTGTTGCTGTTAAAGTGCTTAAAATTTCTTTACACACATCCTAATAGATCATGAGTCAAGTGAAATAACTAGATTTTTGAAGCACTTTTATTTTCATCCTTAATAATTAATAGCCCATGAAAACTGTTGCCTCTCATTGTAGGATATAATTAGTAGAGGCAATGTGGAGGCAATGTGGTCCAGTAAATAAGTTTCTGGAGTTTGAACCACAAGATACAGGTTTGAAATCCCTGTCGCAGCACTAATGTCCTTTGGCAAGACATTAATCTACATATGCCACACTCGACCCTGGTGATGTAAACCTTGTAATGCTTGTGTACTGTAATGACACCTGTGTTAAAGCTAAAGTAGTAATACTGGAGTCCCAGGAGTGGCAATGTGCCGGATATGAGCGCTAAACAACACTCCACTATTATTATCAATTTCAGATCATGAATACATATGAAAACAGTGGAAGAAAGATGGACAGAGACAAATTGAATACCTAAATAAACAAATAAATGCATGAACACACACCCTTACATAAGAAAAATAACAAACAAACAAATAAATGAAAGAATGAAAGGCTGAAAATATAATTTACCTTGTCAGGTTTATGGCCATCATAGACATCTAATGTCATACCAATCATCTTGAGACACATAATGCACTGAGGAGTGTCCCAAGCAAGCATGTGGAATTCATCTTTCTTTAAGAAGTATGCGACTAGTAGGTATCCCTAGAAACATCCAAAAGAAAAAGAGGTTATTACAAACTGCACTATTCATAAGATGAAACTCAGATGATAGGTAATCGACAATAATATATGCATCATGCATACAGTATGTGTACTTCATGTCCAAATATCTCAAAATATATAAGAGCACAAGTCAAGTTTCACCACTAGACCATTCTAATTAGTGCTGTAACATCACGGATATCTCCAATTCCGTTTAACCGCCAGTCAAAACCGGACGGTTTTCGGTTAAACGATTTAAAAAAATTTTTTTTTTTTTAAATTTAAAAAAAAAAAAAAAAAACTTTTTTTTTATTTTTTTTTATTTTTTAACCGACTCTGTCGGCAGCAGGTCCGTGTGAAAAAGCGGGAAGGACTTTCATTTAACTGCGAGGTGCATTTAAAGGGGCCGATTTGTGCTTGTGAACTTGTCACAAATAATAGTAACAATGTCGTTTTTAGAAGAATGTGTAAGATCATTAATGTAAATTAAAAACAGTAGAGGACCTAGGATAGAACCTTGTGTAAAAGTTGGATGAATTATTATTACTATAAACTACATATTGAGATGATGAGATCTATTACACAGATTACTTTCAAACCAAGATGACAGACAAATTGGACTGTTGTTCTAGTTTTGGAGTGGTGAGTCAACACACAGATTACTGAGCTGGGAGACATTGCCAGGCATAGTGCCAGGTGGAGGGGCATAAATCGAATCTTTAAAAAAAAAAAAAAAAAATTATTAAAAAAAAAAAAAAAAAAAAAAAAAAATCGGGAAAACGAAACCGTCCAATTGAAAACGGAATCTGCCATGGGCGGTCGGATACCGGACGGTTAAACGTTTGACTACAGCATAGAATCATCTTTGACAGAATTCTCAAATAATGTAAATCAAAGATTTTAGCGTATCTTTTAAATTTGAGTGAGCATGTACTTAAAGAGGAACTTAAAATGAGACAAACCTGCCATATACAATACATAGATGCTTGTTTTGACTTCAAAAGAATGTAAAGAGGATACACAATTAAAAACAAAAATTTTGGATGCGCAGGTGTACATGTATGACTCAACTTTCTACCCTTTTCAAAAGTTGCAGTTCTCAACTTATGCAGAAATCAATATTCATAACAATTGCAGAGCCATTTCAGTACAAAACTTGCCCTTTTTACCCTCACTATCACCAAAATCTACAGCCTACAATGTACATCTTAAATGATTGTGGCATTACTCTTCACCTAGTTATGTACAATTTAAAGCATAATGAAAAACAATCTTCTTGGGTTTAAAAGTTTTGTGTTTCCTTCAGGTCATGATCCTATGGTTTTCATGGTTTTACATCTGGCACAAATGGACTTTGAAATGCCATTTTTAGAACAATGTTGCTCAATGAAGCTGGTATGGATTAAATGTAAATACAACCAAAATAGACAACTACTCTAAAAGAAAGCAGAAAATTAAGAGAAGGAAACTGATGAAAGTTTCCATTAAATCTGACTAAATATAAGAAAGTTATGAATTTTTGAAAGTTGTAATCACTATACGTATGGGCACTTAAAATTGGCTAAAGCGGCAATTTATCATTTGAAAGCATACTCCTTCTTCAAGAAAAGCAAGGATATATATTTATACAGCTTATAGGTTTTTTTTAATAAAACTTATTTTCAGGTCTTGTTTTTTCTGGGATGCACTATGTATCAAGTGCATGTAATAATAGTAGATTTACCATGTTGTATGTAAAGGAAGCTACCACTGACGTTCTTGTTCCCCCTAGCAGCTGAAGAAGTAGAAAGTTTGCTACTATGGTCACAATGTAGTGCAGACAATCCAGTCCTACAAAACAACACATCATCAAGGTTATATTAGGTAGAACGGCTATGTGGTTATTAAATGGCAATCCAGACTTGATAATGAGTCCAAAACTAACATGCACAAGTGACTGCTCTTATTTATAAGGTTATCTATCATTTACATGTACTGTACAAGCATAGCTTCTTTCTTTTTTTTACTAGATTCCCGCATATTTCACTGCAAATATATTTATCTAAGTTCATTTTAAATACCATGCAATTGTATTTTTTTCTATGAATGGTATTTTATTTTTACTTTCATGGCTTGACATCATATACTTATAATTATCAAGTAGATCTGTTTATAATAATAACAGTTTTCACTTGCATGTATCTTGCTGTTGATGTTTAAGCTTATAAAAGTAGGGAGTTAACAGAAAAGAAATTTAGCTTCAAAGAGACAGAGAGAGAAAGAGAGGGAAAGGGAGGGAAAGGGAGAGGAAAGAGAAATAAATTGAAATTATGATACAGGCAGGAGATTAAGATTAACTAGAAGTTACAATAACAAACATCTGGTCAGAGCGTGTGTTAATGAGGTTAATACATAATTTTTCTGTGTCAAATTCTATAGCTCTGTTAAAAGCAAAAAGAAGCAAAACTTTGCATTTAAAAGAGAGAGAACAGGAAATGACTTGAGATTGCAAGGATGTGGTTAATACAATACAATACAATACAATGAACATTTAGGGCGCCATTCCCATAAGGCTCAGAGCGCTAACATCAAATAATATTATTGGTCTTTACTACATGTAGTAATTAAAGGCTACAATTAGATATTCCATATAAAATATTAAATTCAATTGATTAAATTAAATAATTAAACATAGAGGAGAATTCATGTAAAGAGATGAGTTTTCAGAGCCTTCTTAAAAATATCGATAGAGGCAGATTGTCTGATGGACATGGGGAGATTATTCCACCCTTTGGATGCTGCTACCGTGAAAGTCCTATCCCCGGCTTGGACACGTGTAATTGGATAATTTAGACGGAGGTTATCATTTGAAGATCTGAGATTTCTGCTTGGTGTATATAAAGTTAAACAATTAGACAGGTAATTAGGAGCTAGGTGGTGCAATGATTTATAGACATATAAGAGTAACTTAAAAATGATTCGCTGTTGAATTGGAAGCCAGTGAAGGGAATTAATTAATGGTTGAGCTGAATGACTTCTACCGACCTCAAACACAAGGCGTGCTGCCCAGTTTTGTAGGCGCTGGAGACGGTTTACATGTAAGTTTGGAAGAGAGGAAAGAAGTCCATTACAATAATCAAGTCTAGAGAGAATTAAAGACCTTACAGCATGATGACAAGTTGATTGATCAATATATCTACGAATTCGTGATATGTTCCTTAAGTGAAAAGTGACCGTTCTACTAACATTGTTAATATGTGAATTCATACTTATTCATATTTAAGAAGATATGAACAAGAATCGCCTGGTCAGGGAATAATTTAGTTCATAATCTTTTTAAGCGGCAAATTGTATATCTCTTTTAGAAAGCAAAAAGAGAAGAGATTTAGCTTTTTGAAAGTTAGACTTAACTGGGGATGAGAATAAATCACCATCAAAGGAATTATTGATGACGAGACTCTTTTCACTTCACAATAGTGTTTAGTAAAAGTAGAGAGCAAATAGAAAATATAGTCAGCATTTAAAAGAGAGAACAGGAAACTGGGTCGAGATTACAAGGTTTTGATTTAGAAGGAGAAAAAATGTCACTAATTTTAAAAGAAAGAGAACAGGAACTGTGTCAAAAATACAAGTGCAAAATTTAGAAGGAAAAAACAAAATATCAATTATCACCAAGGCAGGACATACCCTAAAGAGTGGCAAATACTATTACTGAGAGTCATTTCCAGGTCTCCCCAATCCTCCCCCTCTCTTACATGGTACAAGCCTACTGTATACTATAACTCTTTTAAAAAGTGAGACAAAAAAGAAAGGGGTTTGTTTTTTAAGGGGCTTTTTAGTAGGGGCTTGTTTCTTTCTCAAAAATCAGGTTAGCTCTTTTGGAAAGCTGGAGTTAACTAGCAAAGAGAAATTTGATGAGCATCAAACAGGGATTCTGTTTATCTATTTAACCTGATGATTACAAAGAGATGAAAGAGAGAGAGAGAGGAAGAGGGGTAGAATAAATGACCGTCTAAATAAAATAATACTGATACAACTTTAGGACAGCAAAATACAAAACAAAACAAAACAAAAAATTGGTCAGCGTCTGAACAGGACGTCTGTTAATTCTTAATCTTGAAATTAAAGCAGCAGTTCTTTTAGAAAAGTATAAAAGAATAGCTTTAAAATAAAACAAGAACAACCTGTGTTGATATCATGCGTGATTTCCCATTCTTTACCCAGCTTGAAAAGAAAGCAAACAAATTTACACTATTTTTTTTTTTAAAGTCCAAAAATCCTATAAAGCTTGTCTAAAGTACCTAGTAAAAACTGCACAACTGATAACCTTTTTATGTTGCTTTAATAAACTAGGTTATCCAACCCCCTTGTTGAAAGAATAAAGAAGAACTTTCGAGCAGATAAGGGTTCAACTAAATAAAATATAGCAGGACGAGATCCCGTTAGTTGTTGCGGTAAGCCTTTTCAGCGCAATGAAACACATTGCTTCGCTACCCCAAAGAGGATTAGAATTCATGACTAAAATTAATTTAATCTTAGGTTTTTCATGAGAAGAGATCCTAAAGAAAAAGGGAAAATATTTTTTATTCAAATAAATAAATAGGTGCTAAGACTTTTTTCAAAATGAAATGACATTGAAAAATGAAAACTAAACGCTAAATGAAGACAAAACAGAAGCAAATTTGGAAGCATTTTTCTCATAGAAATACTTTCCCAGGCCCCTATACTTCTCAAGTTTCAAAACTAATATCTCCACTTATACTTCCTCTCTAAAGTCGAGCTATAGCAAATTAAAGCTTATGAAACTGAAAATCAGAATCAATCATGCAATGAAATTTGAAAGAAACACCACTTCAGTCTCAATTTGAATTGATTAGTCACATATTATGTGATTCCTTTATCTTTAGGATGAAGTTGTCAATGCAAAAAGCAACTAGATGGAACTTCAACTGCGCGCAGTCGAAATGATGCCTCCGTCATAGAGCAATTTTACAAACCAAAACAGAAGAAATTTGTCAAATTCAAGTTCAATTGTAATCCATTAACAGGTTCTCAGAATATCGTGATTACAAGCAATTTCTCATATACATATATGACCCTTTGATCTTTGACCTCATGACCCTAAAATCTACTCAGCTCATTGGCTCTGCAAGATGTCCCGAGTTAAATAGTAATCCCTCTGTCAGTTCTAATGAGAATGCGTTCACAAGCTATTTTTGCATACATTATGAGCCCATGACCTTTGACCTATGACCTCATGACCCAAGAATCTACTCAGTTCATTGGCTCTACAAGATACATACATAAACTAAGTTTGGCAGGAATCCATCAATCTGTTCTAATGATAATGCGATCACAAGCTATTTTTCAATACATAATAAGCCGCATGACCTTTGACCTTGACCTGATGACCCCAAAATCTAATCAGTTCATCGGCTCTGCAAGTAACAAACATGACCTAAGTTTGGCAGGAATCCATCAATCGGTTCTTCAGATAACGCGATCACGAGCTGTTTTTGCATACATAATAAGCCCTGTGACCTTTGACCTCGTGACCCCAAAATCTAATCAGTTCATAGGCTCTGTAAGATACATACATGACCAAAGGTTGGCAGGAATCCATCAATCGGTTCTTCAGATAACGCGATCACGAGCTGTTTTTGCATACATAATGAGCCCTGTGACCTTTGACCTTTGACCTTGTGACCCCAAAATCTAATCAGTTCATCGGCTTTGTAAGATACATACATGACCAAAGTTTGGCAGGAATCCATCAATCGGTTCTTCAGATAACGCGATCACGAGCTGTTTTTGCATACATAATGAGCCCTGTGACCTTTGACCTTTGACCTTGTGACCCCAAAATCTAATCAGTTCATCGGCTCTGCAAGATACATACATGACCAAAGTTTGGCAGGAATCCATCAATCGGTTCTTCAGATAACGCGATCACAAGAACGGGACGTACGGACGGACAACCCGAAAACATAATGCCTCCGGCTACTTCGTAACGGAGGCATAAAAAGTGTTCAATCATAACTACCATATGCTGTTGGTTAAAATAATGCCAATTTAATCTCTTTTTTTTCTTAATCGTTAACAGAAAGAATGTTCACTCTACATGTTGTCTGTTGGCTTTTTTATACATGTATCTCAAGGTTTTATATCAGACATCTATCCATGCATGGGCATTACCCAGTTATCTATGATACACAGAATGAAGGAAGCAAAAGTTCATATGAAATTCTAAACCTACCGAAGTTGAAGTAGGCAAGAGATAGACCAGCTGCTGCGTAGAAAAGATGTTGAGTGCTTGGAGCTGAGTGGAGGACATAACGTCGAGAAAACAGGCCAAGAGGGTAGCCTGCAAAACATGACAATACAAATAACAAATGAAGGTCATGGTCAAGGTCTTAAATGTATTGGACATCTCACCTCTGTCCAAATATTAAAATTCATGTAACATAAAGTGTTTTCACCTTTAATTAGACTATTATTAACCGGCTGACTACTGAATTATTTAATTCATATACATGTACCAGTAAGCAATGGGGTTGTTGTTGTTGTTGTTGTAGGTAATAGTTCTAATGGCGTTCATTCAGTATTGAATATATACGCCATATCTTTAATTTTATAAGGAAAATCAGTTATAAATAAGAAAACTGAGGATAAAGATTTGTAATGATATAATTAATTTATCAGTAACGCAATTTATTAGGAGTCTCTGGATGGTTTGCAACTTCGTGTTTCTGCTTTTTTTAAAAATGGGTTAAGTGTTTAGTTAAGCAAACTGGACTTGGATTGGGCATCAGTGGTAGTGGGGGCTTTTCTTGCACACGCCACACCCTTTGCCTTTGGCAGTAGAGGCACATTGCCGATTTAGGAGACTCTCTACCAATCACGAGACTGTCTCCCATATTGGAGATTTTGCTTACAAAAGAACAATAAAAACAATACCAACAAGAAGGCTATTATTCCAAGCCAAATTTTTGCCTCTCGGAGGTACAGTGTAAGGAGACTTTATAACTTTTGTGTGTCGATCATAAAAAATATATTATCAAAACAAAAGTAGACAGTGAACTTTTTAAAAGTAGACGATCAAATAGGGTAATTTGTCATGAGGATTACCGGTAGTGCTCATAACATTATTTGAACTGAGGAAATCTGTTTGCAGCAAAGGAAATTGGTACCAGTAATCTCCCAAATAGGCTATCAATAACATTGACACAAGTCCCTAGTATCAGAGACAGTCTCCTACACCCTTACAGCCTTACCATCCTATATCTAATGTACATGTAAGTAGAAATAACATGCAAGTGTAAGAAGAGAAATATTGGGCCCATTACCCATAAAACTTTAAAATATTAGCCTAGAAATGACCACCATAACAGATGTCACTATACATGTCATGAAATTGCAACTTTTACAAATTTTAATGCAATGTTTATTGATGTTTTTTCCTCCCCCCCCCCCCTTTCCCCCTTTTTTGTCCTTCTCCTCCTTCTCATCTTTCTTTTCTTTTTAAAACTTTATTTCAATCAATATCAGGTGCATCTGGTCAGGTACATGTATGGGGAGGAAGGTCAGCGGATCATAGTTATTAGGTAAATTTTGTCCATACCCGACAGCTTGACCGGATGCACCTGCTATTGCAATGTTTATATATGTTTTCTATTGATATTGTCTCAATTCATTTTTTGTTATATTGTTGTATATATGTCAGTTGATTTGCCAAATGAAATAATAAACAGAAAAAAAGTTGAGATTTTTCTGGCAAATCTACCAAGATTCTGGGTTGTAAAAAAATGGCCACGTCTACCTGTAATACAAATACAATTTTCTGATAATTCAGGTGTAATTTTTCAAGTTTTCTGCGTGTTGCTAATCGGTTCATGGCGATCTCAACTGGCATACCGCCATCTACTGATTTAACTTGCTAAAATTTAGCATCCTACATCAAAACATCTCAGTGTCACACTGCATGCATTTCCTTCCTTAGAGCACATTTTACGGAAGCATCATCAACACATGTCAAAGGTCAACATCATTGTAATGCAGATCGTAACATCATCCGTTACATGAGGAAAGGAAGCAAAGCTGTATTGCTCTGGTAAGATATTTGCTAATTTGAGGTTTATTTTTACCTCCGATATTGAATTGCAGTGCATCATTAGGAGTAGGAGTAGGAGCAGGATAGCAAACGTTAAAGCCAGTCACTGAGCAATATTCGTCGGGTGCAGGAAGGAGTGAGTTCGGATAATAATAATAATAATAATAATACTCAGTTATTTTATAGCGCATAACACATTACAGGATAGCATGTCCCTATGCGCTTCAAATAGAAAGGAAAGAATTCCAAGAAAAAGTCATACAAATTAGGAAATCCACTTAGAAGTTAAGAAGTACATGTAGTGTTGAACGCATTTGGTGCATTTTAGGGTTTGTTTACCTGTCTCTCCGCACAGGTCTTTGGGCGTCAGTTAACGCTTGGTGATAGTTACCAATATCATATTTTACATTCCCATAAGGTTAAGTCCACCCCGTTTACAGTTAGACTTCACGCATTATAGGAGTGAGTGAAGTACGTAAAACTTTAAGGCTTATTGGCTGATCGACGGGTAGTTTTGAATTTGAATTTGAATGGGCGCGGTCAAGCAGCACAGAGAGCTAGAGCGCAATGTTGACAGTACCTTGACTTGTGGGCGGGATTTTCGCTCTTCTGTTCGAGTCTTTAAAAAACATTCAGTTCATAATTTAAGCTTTCCAAAAATACCTGAAAAGTTGAGCGTGGGAAAAGCAAACCTAGCTATTGCTACATGAGATGGGCCATGCAAAGTTCAGCATGCTGCGCCAGCTCAAGGAACGCAGTCTAGTCATTAATTATTGGTGGTCGCTAATGTTAATGAAACAGGCAGCTACATGTACATGTAGCTACCATCGGCAAAATGAAAATCATAATTAACTTGACGAGATCTCATCGGCTTGGACTAGCAATGAGCAATTTGCACAGTCTCTGTAATAGGTCCACATCTACCACATCTAGAGTTCATAGCTTGATTATTATCAATAATCATGCTATGAACTGAACTGTAAAAGTATGAGATGTGCTCAAATAAAATAATCTACGGTACACTTCTGATTTTTTATAAAAATGTTACAGTCGATGACTTTAATTAGAGTTCATTCAATCAGTTAAAGATGAAGTTGAGTTCTGGTCATGCGATTGCATTGTGAAAGAAACGGTGTGGAATCGACCAGAAAAGGTTGATCATCTAGCATATAAGAATTTGTGTGTATTGCAAGTTTCTGGAATCATCGAAATGATAAGAAATTTGGCCAAGTCTTGGTAAAGTTAAAAACACTGTACACAGAAAGATGTATATGGGACTACACGAACACGTGGCATGACATATTTAGAATATGAAGGCATTTGAAGAGCCATGCTTTTCAGGGAACATGACTTATCTGATGTTCTTCCACACGCTCACAAATTGTTTTTCACCTCTTCCCAGAACTCAACCTTCTCTTTAATGTTCTTTGGTCTGAAAAAAGATAAGGGTGTTGGGATAGGGGTAATTCTAATACGTTGCAACATTTTTAAAATGCAGAGAGCCCCTGCAGCCGGCTAGCATCGGCAAAAAGTAAATCATAATTCGCTCAATGAGATCTCATCGGCTTGGAATAGCAATGAGCCATTTGCACAGTCTGGGTAACAGGTCCACATCTACCATAGATCATTAACAACAATACTACAAACGCTGACCACAACCAGGTCAAAGTACAACCCATAAGCAGTATTACAATAATACGAAAACACCGCGAACGATGTCACATGACACCCAGCTGTTTTGTTCGGAATTACAACAGAACAACGCACACAAACTTCAGATCTGACACAAAGCGACGCCCCATATGTCAATCTTCATCCCAGCCATGCAAAAATGGCTACCAAACACACTGACATTTTATGCATTAAAGAGAAGGTTGAGTTCTGGGAAGAGGTGAAAAATAATTTGTGAGCGTTATCATTCTTATTATGCAAGTGTGGAAGAACATCAGATAAGGCATCAAATGCCTTTATATTCTAAATATGTCATGTAACATCGTAAAACTCGGGGGTAGGATTTTTACGCCACGTGTTTGTGTAGTCCTATATTCATCTTTCTGTGTACAGTGTTTGTAACTTTACCAAGACTTGGCCAAATTTCTTATTATTTTGATGATTCCAGAACCTTGCAATACACACAAATTCTTATATGCTAGATGATCAACCTTTTCTGGTCGATTCCACACCGTTTCTTTCACAATGCAATCGCATGACCAGAACTCAACTTCATCTTTAAACAGGTGACGCACTTCACACATAACTGACGCACACTCAGCATACGTACACACATAAAATAGACAAAATCAACAAACATTTCAGTACAACTTCACATTTTTTAACCTTAAATATGACGAAAATAAGAATTGTTCAACCTTAAAGGGAGTGTAGCTTGATCGTCTGACGAAACTACGCGTCTTTCCTGTGGCCTGACTCGAATCCAAGAAAAAGAGCCCTTCTCAATCTCGTGCATATTCAGCAATTTTGAGCGAACGGTGCTCTATATCATGAGTATTCATATTTGCTGTGCCGCAACCGCGCATGGGTACTTTCTCTTCATGTTGAATCAAAGATACAACATGGATGAATCGTCGGGTTAGGACGAAGAATCACCCTTTTTCCCATTGAAGACTTCTTAAAATTATAATTTCAAATTGTTGGAAAGATGCCCAGAGGTGAAATTTGATGTTGAAGTGGGGGTATGATGGCTGTGGTCTGTCTTCTATGGCAGAAATTTAGATTGTGCCACTGCAGGGCTAGTTGCATGGGGTGGCCGCTTACCAATGTCGTAATTGAATATATAATATATAATATAATATATATAACGGTATGTGAACTGAGATGTGTACCCGCTATGATCCGCTAGTTTCTAGTAGTACGTACTCCTTTCCTCCCATTATGCATGCTAGTTGGGATGATCCATTCAAGGAAAAGGTGAATTTTTTAAAAACTTGACAAATTTACCGTAACAGATAAACAATGAATATTTGGGTTACCCGTAGTAATTCGGTACACGCTTTGATTGTGTCGTTGCGCATATAGCTTTGTGACATACATTGCCGCCCGCCGGGTAATTCATGGCCGCCCACCGGGGAACTCGCACCATTTTGAAAGGTGGACAATACTGACCACGCTATGGGTCAGTTATTTGTACCTTCTATTTAATAAGTAAATATAGGGTAGAGTGCCCGGTATTCGGTCACTTAAGGGAAAATCGCTAATAGTTTGAATTCTTATCTTTTTTATTTGGCAATCTATCCATCAAAAGAAGAGAAAATTAGTCCTCTAACAGGATTTTAAAGTCACTTAAAATACAGAATGATGATAAGCAAAATATTTCCAAAAAAAAGGAGCATTTTTCTGCCCAAAATTCAGTCGCGCCGAATAGAATTCGGTCACACGATTTGTGCGTGGTATCTCCATTGACAAGTAGCGAAGCGTATTTGCACACTATTTTCACACAATTGCGCAACAAAGCACTGAATGACAGTGCGTTGGCCGAATACTGGACGAGCGCTACCGCATGGCAAGGGTATTGCACATCGGAAAGTGCATCATTTGCAAATTCGCCGCGACGGAGTGAACACGGAAGTGATACTCTTCACACACATACTAAATTCATTGCGACAGCACACGCAGTTGTTTCACAATAGGCTTCTGCATATGGCTATGCATGTTAGCGCATGTGCTAACAGAACCCGGAAGTGCATAAAGTTGTGTCTCTTGGATGCTCATTTTTTATAAAGCATGAATCCCTTAGCATTGATCTACCACGACCACTAGGCTTTAATGCTGTACACGTGTCTGTCATTTTAGTTCCAATAATATTTGATAATTGATAGGTGACCTCATCATTGCCTTATTGGTCATATTTCATTGGCTATCTATTTCTATTCATCTTTGGGGAGGGGGGAGGGTTGAAACCGAATTAGCCATGTACGTGTAGGATTATGGATAGGCTTAAAGATATATCGTGGATGTTTCTTAGAAATGTTTAAATTTAAGTCACATTTTCTTCTTCCATTGAAACCATAATTATTGTAAGCAAACCAATTCAAGTACCCTTTTTAATTGAAAACAGCAATGTATTATTTTTATCCATATCATTTCTGGTAAACAAAGCTGACAATTGATCAATTCAAATTCAAAGTTTATTCAAAACTCTTCATGCATAAACACATTTAAAACATACAAATACAGAATGGAATGATAAAAAACAAGATAGTGATATAACATGAAATTCTAAATGAGAATGAACCTTGAATTATTAAAATTGCCAATATATGAACAGCTGGCCGATGAGAAGGGGAAGTGATTTTTTGAAGAAGGGTGATTATATCGCTAAAGAAACTTGGCATTGAAAAAAAAAAAAAAAAAAAAAATAGATTGAAAGTACAACATCATTTTTATGCCTACATGTTGCCTTGATTTGGATGTAATGGATGGTTAGCGTGAAGAGCTCCTGAAAATGACATACGATTGGGGAGGAGAGAGAGGGGAATGATCCCCAGGGGTAGGAGGTAGAAGTGAGAGAGTGAATGGTATCTGGAAGGAAAAAGTGAGAATATAGTGAGCGAAAGGGAGAGAAAGACACAGAGAAAGAGAGAGCACGCGATAAGATAGAGATAGCATTTTGTCAGATCAGAGAAACAGGGAGATGAAATGAAAATGTAAAGAAGTGATAATACAAATTATACAGAAATTGTAAAAGCTGAATATGAACATTAAACCACAAATCATTAAACTATAACATATAAATAAAAGAAATAAGAATGTTACACACCATTGTCCATAGTCGATTCATAATCTTTTATTAGGATACCATCATACCTTTCGGGCCTATGTGCATTATTATTCCCTCTCTAATAACATTATATTTTCAATATCAAATCAATTATATAACAAGTATTTATTAGACTTTAGAATAAAAACTGGCTGAGAAAAGATATTTTGCATAATATTCCTCGTCACAATAAACAAAAAAAGTACGTATTGATAAACTATCACATTACGGTATCCTTCAACTACCTTTTGATTGGACTGTCGAGAAAAAAACACTCACCGGTTCTTCTTCAATTTAAGAATCTTTACAGAAATGTGCAAATCGTTTGATGATCTACATTTGATAATGACACTATGTATTATTTATTTTAGGAGAATTTATATGTATATATTTTTGGGGGAACAATTTTAGCCCCAAAACTTGTTTTGAGTTATTCATGATAAATCAAATGGATCGTGACAAAGACTATGTTCTTGAGCTGCTAGTATCGCGATATATCGATATCATGTCTGTCATGGCTTCGTGAAACGGTTTATCCACTTCATGACATCTCTGTAGGCCGCCGACAAAGAGACTGTCATGGAGTTGGTTTCATGAAACGGCCCCCAGCTAGGCCTAGGTCCCGCGAAACAGCCGCACACAGAGACACAACTCTAGATCTAGAGACTAGAGTACCGATTTTGAGTGAAATCAGTTGAGCTTTGCACAGTAGTGTTTGAAATGTTGAGAATCAATAGAACAGGATTTAATACACAGCCAGGATAGTAATGCAGCTGTATGTGTGTGATCAGGCAGCATTTCCGCCATAGTCTATGGCCACCCGCAAAATACAATACACGGGACTGAGTGGATGAATGAATGACTTCAACGAGTTAAGTTTCCAAATCATGTCTGACCTAATAGTATACATATACTTACAGATAAGAATTGAAACGTAGAATCTCAAATCTACGATAGGAAATCCAATAGTACTCGATAGTTCTTCAAAAAATCTAGAAATCGGGTTGATTTCCATCATTTTTAACATTCCAAGGTGTGCCATTGTTGCTGATATCCTCCTACTGCTCCTTGGCCTTGAAACTAGCAACCAATAAGGCAGCCGATATTGACGGGTTACAGTGTCTCTAAAACAATCAATTGAAAACAAAAATGAAAATTTTGCACGTCTCCATTTAATGGAAAGGCAATAGCAGTAAGAGATAGATTTTAATGATTTTAAAGCTATCGTATGACATTGTAACTAGATCATGACCAATACAATTTACTCACATATATGTCACATGTTTCAGGTTGAAGTTCGGGCTCAAACCGGCATATCGATATGCCTCGATCGGAGGGCTTATCCGCACAATACATTAAATATTCGCCAAAGTACATTTTCAATTTGTAAGGCTTTTAGTATGAAATTTCAACTAACTAATGACCTACAACATTTGATAGAAGTTATCTTATTCTGTAATATTTGTCACATGCTGAAAGTTTTTTCTGAGTTTTCCTGTTTACCGATTTAATTTAAGGCTCAACTGACCGGCGTATCGGAGGGCATGCTTGTCAACATACGAGGGGCACCTCTCAGATTGGTGGTTTTGGAGATGATCTCTGTTAATAGTGGAAGCTTGTGTCGGGTACCAGCTTCTTCCAAAACAAAACAAAACAACAACAAAAAAGCACAAAATTGATCATATATAATGCATGTATCTATAGAAATTTTGAGAATCTTTTAGAGACCATCGGAGTGGTATAGGGGATCTTAAATGGGATTCTCTACCCTTAATTGAAATCGTAAATCTTTGCCTTTTGAAACATTTCTAAAATTGGACAATTCTGTAGCCTTTTACATTATTGTTAATACGAGAAATTGCATTATACGCAAGGCTGAATATAATATGCCATATAACAAGAAACAATGAAATCGCATGAAAGGTTAAAAAAAAAATGAAAATTTACATTTTCGATCACTTTAAACATTATCCGTCGAAAACATGATTAATCATCACATCAACAAATATTTTGTGAGAGGGAATTTTGCCAAATTCCTCCGAGAGGAACGGTTTCCTGCCTATTTCCGCTTCTGACGCCTATATGAGATTTTAGGGATTGTACAGAAACGTCTGTTGAAAAAAAATGCGAAGGAGCATCACGACCGAATGAGAAAAATTAGATATGGGAATACTGAAACTTTATTTTAGAGCACTAAAAAACTTGAATAATTATTGTTATGCTGTAAAGGATGTCATCGAATTAGAACAATGTATTGGAAGGGCGAGGAGCGAGGCGAGTTTTCATCAGCTCCCTTTATAGACAGGCCCGTAGCCAGAGTTTGATGTTTGGGGGGGGGGGGCACATACATGTAATTGATCGACGTCCTGGGGAGGGGTCTAAAAAAGTTCAACCGATCTTGGAAATTTTGGGGGGCACGTGCCCTCCGTGCCCCCCCCCCCCTGTGCCTGTTTATAGAGAGGAAAGCCTCTGCCCCACAATCCTTAAGCCTTTATTTCTAAAGTGTACGGTTTTAAGGACCACTGCAGCTATTATAATTCGAGTGAATGTATAGCTACCAAGATTTGAAGAAGAGCACATCATTTCCATTGTTATACTGCAAAATGATTTATGACATATTTTTGTCTTACGATGAAAAACTCTAACTCAATCAAAAGCAATTAAAATTTGGCTGATTTCCTCTGTTTCAGTAATTGTTTATGGCAGCAATATTATTTATGTTGTCGCCCCCCCCCCCCCTCCCCCACATTCATTATATAGAGCAAAGTACCACTTCTCCCGTTCGGGGGCCCTTGTATCAGACTGGCTTTTACAGAACAGGACATTCTGTGGACCAATTGATCTGGGTTCAGCGAGTATACTTTTCAGTTTGTAGAACTAATATTAGAAGTGGCTATATATATACAGGTATACATTATCAAAACAATTCCAGCTAATAATTTTCCCTATTTTTGTCTTGAATATGCGAACGACAAAATCGAGATTTTATGTATTGCGTAAATGTTAAAACTTTGTTTTATTGCACTAGTTGACTAGAGAGATAATCTCTAATCGTTATATTGCAAAATTGTAGTCTTGTAAAGGAGGGGCGGGGCAAATAAGATACTCCTGTCCCGCCCCTCCTTGATAGAGGGAAACATCTGCCTCTCACTTTAGGCCCCTCTGGTTAACAGGGTTTCTACAGTGTTATGATACACCTCTTCTATTGGAAACTATTATGCAAGGGAGTTTAGCAACCAATTTACAAAATTGGAGTTGTGAATGGTGTAACTAGGAAAGTACTGGAGAGCTATCTCTATACTGTAGAATTATTTATAATCGTGTGAAGGCAAAATAGCCTAATATTCTCCCGGTCCCCTGATAAATATGAGCATCAGCCCCTATGCTTCCTGAAGTTCCTGTGCCTCCTAGTAAACGGTGTTTCGCCAAGGGGAACCTGTACCTATATGTATCCGAGAGAGTGTAGCGAACGAGCACGATACTTTGACTTTGGCAGGTAGAAAGTTTTCATTTTAGAGCAGAAAGCTTAAATATTATAAAATTTTCTAGAGAGGGAGCCCTGGCCTTGGGGCATGCAGGGGCGGCGAAGCGTCTTTCAAAGTTGGGGAGGGGGCACCTGCAAAAAGGCACTCACCTGAGATGAATGGGGGCACTTTTGAGAATGGAAAGGGGAACTAATACAAATAAAAAACGGGTACTTGTGGAAGGAAAAGGGGGCACCTAAGAAATTTTAATAGAGGCATCTATCAGAAGTGTCAGAATGGGGCATTTATTAGAAGGGGAAGTGTACGGCTCTTATTTTTTGTTTAATGGGAATTTATAAGTAGGGTAAAAGGGCACTTATTAGAAGAAAAAGGGCCACTTGTCAAAATAAAAGGGGCACTTCTTAGAGGGGAGAAGTGGCACTCATCAAAGATGCCAGCTAGCTAGGGGGCACTTATCAGAAGGGGAAGGGGCACCTATTACAACAGAAAAGGGCACTTGTTAAAGGTACTATGTCCCATTTGCAGGCCCCAAAAATGAAAAAGGTAAATTCCAACGGCATTTGAAAGATAATATAGGATTTCTCGGTCACTTTCGTAAGCTTTTCATTCGTTTTGATACAAAGTTCATTCAAATTCGCGAAATAAAGCTGCCGGCGTGTTAATTACATTCAAAATAACACTTTTTTCATTTGATTTACTTATTCGGTCAATGGATTTAGCACTTTTTTCGTTCAATTTAACAACCGCTTACAAATGCGCAGTTTGCATTCATTTTCGTCAACAATGGCAAATCGGACGTCCGTACCATTCAATTTCACTTTGGGTCATTCTAAATAACAAAGTTTTCATTCATATTCGCCTATATTTAGAAACCTATGGTATACATGGTATATGCACATGTTTAAACAAATGAGTTATATAACATGCCTAGATGTCTTGCCCGTCAACATGTAGAGGGTTAAACAACTCTAGATATAAGATTGGACATCATCTTACTGATGTTCTCATCACGGACTTGATCGTACTCGGTCATCTTTTGGAAGTGATATTACGTAGACGAACATGATAATGTAATGCATGAAGTAACTATGATCATATTAACATTATAACCAAATCAAGATTTCATATTGTATACGTGTATTCTTTAGTTTATGTCCACATGACATGAGTTATTGAGATGTGCGCGCAGTGAGAATACAATGTATCAAACTCATTAATGATTGTGTAGCGTGATCGTGATTGTAATTGAGATGGTGATTACGAGTGTGACTGAGATGGTAATTGTGACTGTGATCACGATTCAGTGTGATGGTGATTCAGATTTTGATGTGATTATGATTGTGATTGAACTGATACTCATAGATTGTTCTTAACATGTTCAATACAGACTAAATATAATAACACAAATATAAATGGCTTCAAAGAGATTACGAACATCGAATAAATTATCAAAAACAAAACAAAACAAAACATTACAAATAAATCAATGTATAGAGTATTGATACCTGCCCCCCCCCCACCATTATGGTACGCCACTCCAATAAATACAACCGTAGTCTGTAAACACACACTTTGCATGCACTTATATCATTGCATATTCATAAAAAGACACTCTTGCTTAGTTCCATGCTTATTCTATATTGATGTGGCTAGGTTTTTATCTACTTAACACATGATCGTTCAGTTGCTAAATGGTGATGATTTAGAGGGTATACATAATTATACACCCATAGTGAGGACAAATAACATGTTTGTGGCTCACCAACCCATACAATTTGAAATGGATTTAGCATGGAACAACTAAGCTTGCGGGGTTCTATATAATCATACTGGGTAAGATTTACATGTTTAATTTGTCTGCAAAACCTGTGAAACTGTATGCAAAGAAACGAATTTGAATTCACGGAAGACGCTATTACGTAATCGCAAATCGTTTCGCTTTAAATTGAATGAAAATTGTACGAAAAAGAAACACGTTTTAATTCGAATGAAAATGAAATGTTTTTGAATGATCGTTTTAGGAATTTAAATGCTAAAAAACGAATTTGAACGAAAAATAACAGCTGCGGTGACAGAATCGGCGAAATTGAATGAACATAAAATGAATTTGTGTGGCCAACTTACGAAAGTGACCGAGAAATCCTATACTAACCTAGAACTTCCAGGGGCGGATCTAGCTTTTTGCTAAGGGGGGGGGTTGACCAAAATAATGACGATGCGGAGCATCGTCCACGAGCCGCGAAGCGGCGAGCCGATTTTTTGGGGGGTGTTTATTTGAACCCCGTAAGTGATGTTTTCCTGGCATCTATTAACACAATGGAGACCATAAAAAGCAGTGCATGATAACGTCTTTTTAAATCAAGTAACAGTTTAATACATAGTTATATCCAGAGTTATCATGTGTTTGGTTAAGTTACCAGATGAGTTGAATATCTTCTCACAATATTTGCACTTGAAAGGGTTTCTCTCCAGCGTGCGTTCTTTTTTCTTTCTTTTTTTCTTTCTTTTTTTCTTTTTTTTCCCTTTTTTTTTTTTTTTTTTTTTTTTTTGGGCCGCCCAAGGGGGGGGGGTTGCAACCCCCCAACCCCCCCCCCCTGGATCCGCCACTGACTTCCCTTTAAAAAAAAAGGGGGGGGGGCTTGAAAAATGTCTTTAAGTGGGAAAATATTGGTTGTCGAATCGACTTCAGTTCTACCAAATCAGTAAGTAGTAGTCTGATTTTCAGACCATGATTGTACCGAATGGTCGTACGTTTTGTGCTACGCACAGATTCAATCAGTTTAATTGTGACCATATTACAAGATGTGGGTTATTGGTGTAGACAAATGCTTATGTACCCTTTACAGATCAGTTTAAAAAAAAAACAGTCAGTCACTCAATAGTGTCTGACAGTGAAGTCTAGCAAGTAAACGGATGTCCTTGCATAATTTGAATATTAGGACACTGCTGACGTTTAAACTTCACAGATAGGACATACATGACATATTCATAATTCCTGCAAAGTTCTACAGAACTTGATGTTAGTTGCAAAAGGGACATAGTATAGCCTAGTAAAATGGGCGCCTGTCAATTTTGAATAGGAGAAATTATCATAAGTGAAGGGGCCCAACATTATCTGAGGTAGTAAGAGGCACTTATAGGAATATGAAACAGCCGAACAGGCACATATGAGAAATAAAAAGGGGTACTGATCGGATGTAAGAGGGGGCACTTTCCAATGTAAAAAGGGGCACTTTAGGGGTACTTGAACAATTGGAGGGGCACGTAACTAGGTCAAATAACTTCAACCTTTTGCGTTGATGAAAACAGGGTATAAGATAAGGGAAAATATAAATTTTTATTTAGTTTAATTGGAGGGACCTCACAAAATATGTCACCGTACAGAGTTGCCAATTTGTGTTTGATTATAAAACAGACCGAGACCGAGACCGAGACCGAGACCGAGACAAAAAATTAGGCATGTGTTATGTATGAGAGTAAAGAGCAAGTCTTGAGCTTTAACATGATTTAGGCCATTATTTGGTTGAAAAAATATGGGCACGGTGCCATTAGCTAGCTTTAAAAACATACACCGGATGCACCTGCGGTGCTAATCTGTTTTTCCTTTTTGATTTGAAGTCTTGGAGACACTATAACCTCCGCTGATTTCTACTTATTGTTCTGTTGTTTCATTCAAGGATCGTATCGAACCGCAATTCCACGTGCAAGTACATGCATGGAGCTGAAGCAACAGCATCAATTATCAAGTTGGTCCTCCATAATCAGCAATACTCGTCTGAGTTTGAACTGGTATAGAGTCTAGGTATGTATTTGTATGTAGTATACGGATAAATTTTCAATCATTGACAAGAAGTCTTGTCGTCAGCCTAAGGAGTAGATCTAAGGTCTAATGTCTGAATGTCTAGTGAGTAGGCCTAGTGTTCTTTCGCAGTGTTCAGCGGCACCTATCTCGAGGGAGCTCCGACGCCGAAGCGAAGGCGTCGGAGCTCCCTGGAGATAGGTGGAGATGGGTGTCTGCTCGCGCACCCGATGTTGTGTGCTGAAATCCTTTCCATAGAGATTGCACGCATGCCTATACCCTATGGCATCTTGGTGCATTGCGCGGTCACACAAAATTACAAAATCAAGATTCAAACTAACTCCGGGAAGCTCCAACACCGGCGCCGCAGGCATCGGAGCTTCGGTAAAACTCGTCGTGGGGGATTCTAAAAAAGCCGTTTCGGTAACATTATTGTTAAATCTGAAAAGGGAGTAGGTCTAGAGTAAAGGAGCCCGTTTTCGGCCACTTAAGACAAAATCCTATTTTTAGGACTCTTTACTTCCTATTTATTATCATTTCTTGTTCAAATCATGAAGCAAATATTATTATTATTTAAACAAAAAAAGAATCCCAGAAAAAAATCACGAATTGCCATGACAATATTCATTTCAATTTTCACTGTTTTGGAGCCCGTTATCGGCTGAGCGTTTCAGTTTACGGCCGCATGTACAAAGTCAATAGGAAGCGCTCGCGCGCGCCGTGCGTTTCCGCGCTGATGTACAGCACAAACGGGCGGAGCAGGTATCCCACGCCGGAGCTCCCTGGTGCTCGCCTGGCCGAAGACGGGCACAGCGGTGATCGGAAGTTGGAATCTGAATTAGACAGAGATATCGTGTGTACGTCGCGGTGTGCGGCTGCATTGATTTAAATACATGCGATGACATACTTTTGAGCTTGCGACTAGCACAAAATCGGGCTTTAAATCTGAAAAATACTTGAAATAAAGCTCATTTTATGGTACCCATATTTCTTACAGACACGCGTAAGATACTCGATTTTTCAGATTTGGGTAGCGGGACCGGCGATTACATCGCTAAAATGTGATATTTTAGGATATATTTTCCATTGCAAATGTGGTTCTTCAGTGACACTGGCATGGTATGGTATGTGTGGGATATGTGTTATGCTATTATGCGATGTATTTTAGAGTGATTTTACCTTGTATCCAACCAATCGGCCGAAAACTGGAGCTGGCCGATTACGGGCTCCTTTACTCTACTTACAATTTTTACATCATAGGGTGCACAAATTCTCAGGGCATAACAATGATCACTTGAATTCATAATTTGAAGAAGTCTTCGATAGAAAAAAAGGATATTCAGAGCCCTACACAAACGATTCTTCCATGTCGCAGCGTCGATTCAAAATGGCGAAGAGACAGTACGCATGCGCGGCAGAGCCGCAGAAAGTATGAATATTCATGCTATCGAGCGCCGATCGCTCGAAATTGCTGAATATGCACGACTCGAACAAAGGTTGAGAAGGGCTCTCTGTTTGTTCGAGTCGTGCATATTCAGCAATTTCGAGCGATCTGCGCTCGATAGCATGAATATTCATACTTTCTGCGGCTCTGCCGCGCATGCGTACTGTCTCTTCGCCATTTTGAATCGACGCTGCGACATGGAAGAATCGTTTGTGTAGGACTCTGAATATCCTTTTTTCCCATCGAAGACTTCTTCAAATTATGAATTCAAGCGATCATTATTATGCCCTGAGAATTTGTGCACCCTATGATGTAAAAATTGTAAGTACTCCCTTTTGAGATTTAACAATAATGTTACCGAATCGGCTTTTTTAGAATCCCCCACGACGAGTTTTACCGAAGCTCCGACGCCTGCGGCGCCGGTGTTGGAGCTTCCCGGAGTTAGATTCAAACCAGCTTTCCTGAAGGTGATACTCGATAAATGAGGTGTCCTATAAAAGTGCTGATTAACCTCTATATTTCTAAAGGGGTGTGATATCGGAATTCTAAAAATATCTCGGTCAAAACAGCGATTTAAATGTTGTTTGCATCCCAGCTCCGAAAGTTGCCATTTTTTTATAGAAATGGAGCCCAGACCGATATTGTAGTCCCAGTCGTAAGGATTATATACGGGGTTATATCCATGTGCTTATTTTTTCGCTGGACCCAAGGGATGACAAGTTATTACAGTTTGAAAATACTCTCCCCCCCCCCCCCCCCCCCCCCCCCGTTTCGGATCAGCTTAGTAGGGAGGCGTGGGCGCCGCTCAGCCAAACCAATGGCGACGGTGCATAGAATCTGCACATGCAATTCGGACTGCGTGTGTCTGTTTAGGTATTGTGAATAGACTCACAAACGGAAGACAATGGCGGTTGAGCTTGTAAATTTGGTAACTAGACTATACGAACACAGCGATCACATCTTTCTGGCTCACAACAGAATATTGTCTGCTCAGTGCCAGAAGGGTTCACATTCATATCATCAAACACAGTGATAACATCCTTCTGACTCGCAACAGAATATTGAAGCAGTGCTCATGCGCATCGACGAGCTCATCGTTCGTAGCAGAATTCTCGAACGCGTTCGCCCTTGTTTTGCCGTCGTTCCCAAACTGTGACGATACAAGCTATCTTTTGTAGGCACGAAACATCGAACTGAAGTCACAAAATGGACCCAATTGACCTAATTCTAGAAGCAGAGAGTGGTGGAGCATGAATTCTCTTAAATTAACACATTTTCGTGTCTGTAATTTCACCTAAATCAAAATTGTTGCAGAATAATTCATTAAAAGAACACATTTTGTTTGTGCATCGCCAATTTGTTGCAGCATAATTTCCGAGATCAGTCCCATGCACCGAATTCGGTGTGTTGAATCTTTAGCTTTTCGATCGAATTTTGCGCTCACTAAGCAGAATAATTCATGAAATGAACACATTTTATTCATGCAACGCTAATTTGCTTCAGCATATTTCTTGAGAACAGTGCCATTTTAGCTATTCGTTGGCGTTTCGCGCTTACTAAGCAAGCGTCGTAGTTGTATAAAATCGAAAAGGTAACGAACAAAAGTCAGCGTGCCTCGTCAACCCTGCTTAAAAATGTCCGCATACGTCGAAGTCCACTTATGAAAGTGCAAATCGAAAAGTCCCTATCGTCTGCTCAGTGCCAGAAGGGTTAACATTCATATCATTAAACACAGTGATAACATCTTTCTGACTCACAACAGAATATTGTCTGCTCAGTGCCAGAAGGGTTCACATTCATATCATTACACACAGTGATAACATCTTTCTGGCTCACAACAGAATATTGTCTGCTCAGTGCCAGAAGGGTTCACATTCATATTAAACACAGTGATAACATCTTTCTGGCTCGCAACAGAATATTGTCTGCTTAGTGCCAGAAGGGTTCACATTCAACACAGTGATAACATCTTTTTGACTCACATCAGAATATTGTTTGCTCAGTGCCAGAAGGGTTCACATTCATATCATTACACACAGTGATAACATCTTTCTGGCTCACAACAGAATATTGTCTGCTTGGTGCCAGAAGGGTTCACATTCAACACAGTGATAACATCTTTCTGGCTCACAACAGAATATTGTCTGCTCAGTTCCAGAAGGGTTCACATTCAACACAGTGATAGCATCTTTCTGGCTTGCAACAGAATATTGTCTATTCAGTGCCAGAAGGGTTCACATTCATATCATTACACGCAGTCATAACATCTTTCTGGCTCACAACAGAATATTGTCTGCTCAATGCCAGAAGGGTTCACATTCATATCATTAAACACAGTGATAACATCTTTCTGACTCACAACAGAATATTGTCTGCTCAGTGCCAGAAGGGTTCACATTCATATCATTACATACAGTAATAACATCTTTCTGACTCACAACAGAATATTGTCTATTCAGTGCCAGAAGGGTTCACATTCATATCATTACACACAGTGATAACATCTTTCTGGCTCACAACAGAATATTGTCTGCTCAGTGCCAGAAGGGTTCACATTCATATCATTACACACAGTGATAACATCTTTCTGGCTCACAACAGAATGTTGTCTGCTCAGTGCCAGAAGGGTTCACATTACACACAGTGATAACATCTTTCTGGCTCACAACAGAATGTTGTCTGCTTAGTGCCAGAAGGGTTCACATCAAACACAGTGATAACATCTTTCTGGCTCACAACTGAATATTGTCTGCTCAATGCCAGAAGGGTTCACATCAAACACAGTAATAACATCTTTCTGGCTCACAACAGAATATTGTCTGCTCAGTGCCAGAAGGGTTCACATTACACACAGTGATAACATCTTTCTGGCTCACAACAGAATATTGTCTGCTCAATGCCAGAAGGGTTCACATTCATATCATTACACACAGTGATAACATCTTTCTGACTCACAACAGAATATTGTCTATTCAGTGCCAGAAGGGTTCACATTCATATCATTACACACAGTGATAACATCTTTCTGGCTCACAACAGAATGTTGTCTGCTCAGTGCCAGAAGGGTTCACATTCATATCATTACACACAGTGATAACATCTTTCTGGCTCACAACAGAATATTGTCTGCTCAGTGCCAGAAGGGTTCACATTACACACAGTGATAACATCTTTCTGGCTCACAACAGAATGTTGTCTGCTCAGTGCCAGAAGGGTTCACATCAAACACAGTGATAACATCTTTCTGGCTCACAACTGAATATTGTCTGCTCAATGCCAGAAGGGTTCACATCAAACACAGTAATAACATCTTTCTGGCTCACAACAGAATATTGTCTGCTCAATGCCAGAAGGGTTCACATTCATATCATTACACACAGTGATAACATCTTTCTGGCTCACAACAGAATGTTGTCTGCTTAGTGCCAGAAGGGTTCACATTCAACACAGTGATAATATCTTTCTGACTCACAACAGAATATTGTCTGCTCAGTGCCAGAAGGGTTCACATTCATATCATTACACGCAGTCATAACATCTTTCTGGCTCACAACAGAAT